TATTCCAAGGGAATTGTACAACATAAGCCAGACAGGCTGGGCTTGGAACCGGGTTCTGTCGATTGCCAGCTAGGTGACCACAGGGTAGGCACTAAACATCTAAGACTCAGTTTCCCCAACTATAAAGTAATAATAGTAAGTGTTTCCTGGAATTGTTGTATTAAGTAGATTAACATATGGAAAGTGTTTAGAAAGTGCCTGGCACATATTAAGCACTCATTAAACACTAGCTATTCCTATCATCGTATCACTTAACTTTCTCTGCCCCAGGTTCCTCATCTGCTAGATAGTAAATATGAATACTGCCACATAGTATTATAAATATTCATTAGCTCTAGCCTGTAGTACAAAGATATGTAAATAAATTATTTTGATTTCTCTAGTAGAGCTAAGAACGATACACTCTGATCAATTTACAAAGCCCAACCACTCTAAGAAAAATGAGTTTTTCAAGTTTTATTTCAAGTTTTTCAAGTTTTATTTACTCTAATACTATCACGGTAGAATCATGAAGTCAATGCCCTAACTTAGTGCAAGAGAAAAATATTCATTAAAAACACTGCACAGTTTCTGATTGTGCAAGTGGATTCAGAATTGCTCAATGTATGTTATTAGAGTTGTATTCCATATCATTATCATCATCCATGACAAATAACTAAAACTCTCTCATGACTATGGCTGAAAGACACCATAAGGGAAAGCAGATAAGAACTTGTAGTTGACTCAAACACTCACCACCACCCCTGGGAAACCAAATGTGTGGGAGTGGTTAGAAACTAGACATGTTTATTGTGGAAAAGTCTCGTTGGTGATTCCATTATATAATATAGCCACACTCAAGCATGTATATTCATTTACATTAGTGTACACACATGCATGCTGCTGTCATATTGAGAACCACTGGCCTATTGCATCAGCATCAGACAGAAGACTTAATATTTTTAATTGGAAAAAAAAAAAGCGTACACACATACATGCATGCTGCCATCATGTTGATAACCACCAGATAGAAGAGTTATCATTTTATTTTTAACTGGAAAAAAAAAATTTGCTGCAACAATGTATAGGTATTCATTGATTTACAAAGCAGATACTGCCATAAGAAAAGTAAACTTAGATCCAACTCCCCCAATGTTGTTGGTGATTAAGAAGACACATTCAGATGTACCTTGTGTCCCAGGGGACTTGTGCAGAAACTTTTAGTGTAGCAAGGTTTGAGTAGCCTGAGTTCAAAGCTAGTAGTACCCCAGCTGCTGGTGAGAGGCAGTTCTCTTTGGGTCACCTCAAGCTACCATGTAACATTAAAAAGAGTCAAATATTCAAATCCAATATTCAAAAATTAGACCAAACTCTAGATAGTGTCAAGGCAGAGGTATTTATTGCAAGGTTCTAGTTGCTACTTCAGTAACTCTAAAATAAGAGCAGTTTGGGGAAAGTGGGTTCCCAGAAGCAAGAGATAAGAGGTTTGCAGCCTCAGAACCTTGTAACAGAGAGATACAATATTTGACTAACAGTCAATTAACATGGCAGGACCTACAAGCCACGTATCAAGGCTCCCCATAGCAAGGGCAAGAACCACCTGAGCAACCAAATCACAGGGCAGGACTAACAGATTTGGACCTCCATAGGGCCTTATATCTAACACCACAGTAATCATCCAGGACTGCAGGCTGAACTTACCAGGTAAATAAGGTGTTACATCAAACACATCTATCCTCAGCCTCTGACACTGTACTAGAGTGCTGACTGAAGGTAGTTCTGGCTGTCTCAGCACTGGTAAGCCCCAAAGCCAAAGAGAGCAAGGAGGAGAATAGGCAGGGGCCTGCATCTCCCGCAGAGATGATACCACACACAAGTACCTCACCATCCAAAAGCATTTCAGGCCTAAGTCCGTTCTATACAAAAGGGGAGAAAAAATGCCAGTTCAGCTATATTAACAAATGGAAGAGGAAAACAAGAACTGCTTTCTTAGCATGAGGAGTTTCAGAGGGTCAATAATTGACATATTGCTTTGAATTAAGACAGAAGCCTACATATCACATTTTACAAACTATTTAAATAACTTTCAGGCCCTTTATAATTTGAGTCTTCATAGGAGTGGTTTAATGTCTAGAATTTTAAAAGATGCAATTAATATTTTAAGGGCTCACCCCAACTATTAACTGAATGCTCTTTAAAACCAAGAGCCAATTCATTTCAAGTACAGCATTAGGAGACACACAGCAATGAATGTTTGTTTGCATAAATTTAGAAATTATGCATGTTTAACAACATACAGATTGTAATGAAACCATGTATATTACTGTCTTAGGTTAAGTTATATTTGGTGGACAACTCAAAATCAAGACTGTTCTTACTAAATTGCTGAATCTTCTTGGAGCTAATGGCTGCTGCTATGACAGCCCAAAGAAAAAAAAATCAGCAAAGTAATCATAATGAAACAATGAAAAACCCATAACTAAAGCAGAGTCATCTAAAGAGTTGAGAACTGGAGCTTAGAAGAACAAATTATTAAATTAAAAAAATTAACTAAGGATTTATTAAAGGTTATCCTGTTAATTTATACAGTCATGTGTCTACTTACAAACCTGAGTATAAACTATGTGTTGGGCCCCATGTAGCTACTGAGAAGAGACTCCCTAGCTAGACTTGCTCAAAGACTACTTGAGAAACACAGACATGATATAGAAGACACACTTAGGTTGTTAGTGTGTGTCCAGCACCATCTAAGCACTTCAGAAATGTGACCTCATTTTGTCTTCCACAGCAACCCTATAACTCCATCTTACAGATGAGGAACTGAAGTACAGTGATTGTAAGTTGCAGAAGATCATACAGCTAGTATGTGGTAGAACTTGTATTTCAATCAAGAAAATCTCACTCTAGAGCCCACACAAATGACAAACATGCTACGCTGCCTGTCCGTACTTTGGTGTCTCCCTTAGACCTTTGTGTAAAAATCAAGAATCTATAACCTCTCACAGATGTTAAGTATCTATATATAACAGAAGAACATTCAAATTGCCCAATGGAAGGGAAAGTCATTTTGTCAAAACCAGAGGGCTAAAAATATAAAATACATGTATCCAAACAAAATTTATTATGAATAAAGTATGAGATTGCTGCTAATTGGGCTTCATTTAAAAAAATTTTTGTCATAATTTCTTTCAGAAGGAGACAGAACAGAAATGATAATAAAGTGTTAGGAAATTAATAGATTGTCTTGTTTCTAATCAACAGCTACTATTGCAATGAAGCATCTTTATGATACCATGGTTCTTAAACAGCTCCAACTTGGCAGCTGTACACAGTAATTAAACAAATAAAACCTCTGGGAACAAAGTAGCAGCCTTGAGCCCCCACATCCACGAAGGGAAAAAGGCCATAAATAGGAAGATGCTCTGACAGTGAGTGACGGATCAAGTAAAAAAAACAACAACAACAACAACAACAACAACAACAAATGCCTGGATGGCCAACCTCTTGCAGTGGTTGCTAAGACATACTGGAGACACTACAAGACAGTAGAGAAGGAAGAGGAGGAGGAAAGAAAGTGGCCGACCCTGGGCTCAGCAGGTGCCATCAGTGTCTTAAAGGGCCTGGGCATGAGCCACAGTGACAGAGGTGATGCCTGAGAGCAGAAGCCAAGCAGGAGTTCTGAGCTGTAGACTCTCTGACAAAAGAAAAGAATCACTGCTGGCAAGATGAAAGGAAAAGAGCACGTCAGAAGGTCGAACAGTGACGTGTACCTCAATGCCTTAGTACCTGAGGGCATTGGAGGCACTCTGATGGCATACCAATCACAACGAGTAGTAACCATGGAACTCACCCTGCAGAGCAGATTCTGTCACTTTTTATGTACTAACCACAACAAAAACCTGTATTAGCTGGGCATGTGGCAGAGAAGTTGTATAGACACATCCACAAAAAAAGGACAAGTAACCATCTTTTTCCTGGTGCTGCTGACTGATATGGGAGGATCATCCATCCACTTTAAGTATCAATGACATCATTGCTAAGGCAGGAGAGAATGACAGCACTCCACCCACCCACCCCCATCAGCTACAGAGGCTACAGACATCAAATGAGACCATGCATACATACTGGTGTTTAGTAATGCTCAATGAATTTTACATATTACCATCACCACTGCCACTACCATATTACTATGGATATCTGGCCCACAAAGCTGCTTACATTCTAGTAGAAAAGATATCAACAGTGAAAACTAGTTATGAGAAGGACAGTATGAAGACTGCAGAGTATAGAGACCTGGGTCAATTTCAGAGTGCCTCTTACATTTCACTCCAACATCACAATGGAGATAAAGCCAGACTCAGTGTGGCAAAAGAACAGCAGATGGGTTGAATGCTATAGTCACCAGCCAAGCTGGGCTGTCCTCAGTCACCTATGTTGACACAGAGTCTCTGTGACTTTATCTAACAGATCATGTTTGAGTCAATAATTTAAGACAGCAGAGAAGTCAAGTTTCGTCTCTTCCAGGACACCTTCTGAAATCCCACTCTCTCAAGCAGAGAGTGGTCATTTCCAAAGCAGCGTCTCTGTGACCTGGTGCTTTATAAGTGATGTGCACCATCAGACAAGATTATAACTTCCTACAAGAGGGTATGGACCATATAATATCTTTATTGTATTTCCATTGGCTGGCAAAGTTTCTGACACATGTTTGCCAGCCAATGAATGCTGGCTACATAAATGAATAGTAAGCTGATTTTTATTTACAAAATATAAAGAGCCATCTGGAGTATTTACCTCCTAAAGCTCAGTTCCTTAAAGGTCCAAACAGCTAAGATACTGTCAGGAAAAAAAATACATAGCTGCTCTATTTATAGAAATATTTCTGATAACTAAACATCTCTTCTAATTGGCTTACTATTATAAAGTCCTAAAATACAGGTTAAACAGCTCCATTCCCTGTAACCAGTGGTCAGATTTATCATCATGAACAGCAAGTAACGTGCTAGATGGAAGCAGAGCAAAAGCAGAGGGAGCTACTGGCATAGGAAGAGGGCTGCTTCCTCCCAGGCTGGGGAGCCCCTCCAGCCTGGTCCTTCCCTCCCCCACCTTTTCTACAATAATGGCTGCTACTCTGCCCCTCACTCCCACTACATGTACCCACCCCCAGCTTCCTCTTCCTCTTCCTTCAAGCTTCTCTTTTTATCCCCTCTTGTCTCTGGCTCCTATGGAAACTAGATGTGGAAGACAGGCACCCTGATATTTAGAAAGCTTTTATCTCATAAATCATCTCCGGTCATAAAAGCATTATTTTCTATCTGGTCAGAAAACTAACAACGTACTTTGTCTCTACGTAACTGACCACTATCACTTCTGAACCCTTGAGGTTACTTTTCTTTTCTCCCTTCCCCAATTGTAAGGCACTATTCTAGATCTGCAAAGTTACTCAAAGACTGATCTTGGGGAGAAAATGATATTTCCTTTCAGTATAGAGAAAAACAGTTACATGGTTATGAGTCCACTCCTACCACTTTTTAATGTAGCAATGTACCGTGATTGACCTTTTAAGTCACATTTACATGTAGCCACAGCAATAATTACACACACATTATGTAATTCAGGACAGTAATATAATGAAAGATCAGAGACTTAAACCTTTATTAATTTGTTACAATATTTCAAAGTTCACAATAATTTGATGTGAAGTTTATGCACTAACTTCTCATTCACTCATCTATTTCATTAAGTTCCTAATACACGAAGTGCTATTTAAGACATGATAATGAATTAAAACAAAAAAGCAAACAAGGAAACAAGGCATTTTGCTTTCAAGGAGGTTACAATCTAATTAGGGAGATGAGGTACATATATTTCAGAAACGTTCATTTTCCAAATAGATTAAAAATGCAAACAAAATTTCAAAGGCTTAACCCTACTTATGGGAAGGGAATTATGAGAAACTTGGAGCTCAGAAATTATATGGAAAGGCACACTGTTAATTACAAATGAGTTATCTATTCATCACACTTCATCATAATAGGCCCCTAAAAGACCACTCCTTGGCAGCATGTAGAAGTTATTAGTACTTAGAAATATGTACTTGAAAGTAATAAATCAGAAGCTAGAAAACACTTTTATGGCTGGGGATGAGCTTTAGAGATAAGCTACGCTATACCTGAGGTCTTGAGAGTTCAAGGGCCTTGCCCACGGCTTCAGAGCTAGTTCATATTCATAGAAGAGCCAGGGCTATCCTCCTGTCCCAGATGCCAAGTCCAGTGTTTTCCCCAAAACCCCACATGGATCTATTTCACTTTGCCAGCCAGTACAAGTTAGTGGATTCTCTACTCTAAATGTTGCCTGAAGTAGTAGAAATAAAGTTCCCAGAAATCAGAACTAATAGCAGCTGGATTTATATACCTCAGTTATAACAGCTTATACACCTCAGTTACAACAGCTTAGTATCTGTTTGAACTTCACTCTTTCTCATTTCCAGTTCATCCTGTAAAGTCTGCCCCTGTCAATCTACTTAAAAGATTGCTTTTAACAAATCATTATCACCTCCTTCCCTCTTCTTTAGAAAGACCTCCCATCTAGGCAATCAAGGCTCTCAATATCTTTGAGAGGTCCCCAAACCACAATGTTCTCAGCTACCTGTCCTCAAAAATTGAGTCTCCTATTCCAGCTAGATGGATATAATCCTGTTAGAAGAGCAAAGAAATTGTCAAGCTGTTCTTTGCCTGGCTAATATAGAAGACAGCACAAAGCAGCCTATCTTTCTTCCCAACATCAACCCTAAAGGTAAGCTGTGGCCCAATCCCACTGAGAACTTAAGCTGTCTCTTACATAAACACAGCCAAGTTCTTTATACTTCCCACCTACGTTGCCTGTGTAAGGAATGAACCAGACACTCACTGGAAGCAAGACTTGCTTCACTCAGAGTACAAAAAACTCTCCCTTACAGATGTGAGTTCATATTTCACATTTTGTGACTTTGTAGCCTTCATCTATGAATCCCATTCCCTTTCAGACATTGCCTTCCCAGAAGAGGCCCCAATATCTTGACTCCAGCAGTAATGATCAGCGTACACACCTCCAGTTTTCAGAACCACTACTCTGCGTGTTTTGTAGCCCCGTTATAAATGTTACCACACACACTTACAAAATCTCAGCTCAATATTCCAGGCCCAAACAGGAGGCAGCATGGCAAATATCCAGAGAATGATTTGATTTTGTATCATCTTGATGTTTAACATTATGATCTTTGAGGCTACAGCAACAAGTGGCCCGATGTGCACTGAAGCATTCCCACATTAAGCATCATCTCTCCACTTTTTTGCACAAATATGTCATTTTCCATGTTGTTTTCTTAGAGAGTCCTCACCACCATCTCCAAATGATTTTCATCATTACTGCATGGGACAATCTAAAGCACTATTCACAATTTTATACTTCATAATGTTGAAACCAAAGGGAAAATCTAAAATTTCTCTCAAGAAATTTTTAGTTACAAAACATACACATTAAGTATCTTGCTTAATAGGCAACTATCTACCTAAACAAAATGGCCCAAACCAAGAATGCCAGGCAGCACCACCCCTACCTCATGACTGGAGGAGGTCAACTTATACAGTGATTCACACAAGCACATTCCCCAATTAATAGCCACATGTGCATCTGTTAGCTATTCGATGATTACTAGTTATGTTACACACCTTATAATTTCAACCTATATGTGGACATTTATGTATAGTATCATTTAAAAATTTATACTATCCAAATCTATCTGAATCAGAGTTTAAAGGCATTATGTTTTCAAATAGCATCTAAATCTAAGTAAAAAGATGTCATATCATAAAGTTGAGCAATCACAAACTTTGGTTTCATGAAAAATAAAAGATAAGAGCTATATGCATAGAGATAATTAGTGAAATTTAGAGCAACTCTTTTAAAGAATGTTGAAATATGCAAACTGTGCGGTGAAAGCAAAAAAAAAGTGAGTCTGCCCCTGACTTCAGGTGAGACTGCAGTTTGGCACCACACTCCCCATGTTCAGTGGATGGCTGATAGGAAAAAAAGAAACACTCTTATTTAAATGCTGATGGTTTCTGATATATCATTCAATGTAATGATATATTTGGGTTATAAAACAAAATAATATGCCTAAGTTTTCTTGAATTTTTTTTTTTTCCAGACAGAGTCTCACTCTGTCACCCAGGCTGGAGGGCAGTGGCACAATCTCAGCTCACCTCAACCTCCGTCTCCTAAGTTCAAGTGATTCTCCAGCCTCAGCCCCACGAGTATGTGGGAATACAGGCACACACCACCACACCTGACTAATTTTTGTATTTTTATTAGAGACAGGGTTTCACCACATTGGCCAGGTTGTTCTCGAACTCCTGACCTCAAGTGATCCTCCCACCTCAGCCTCCCAAAGTTCTGGGATTACAGGTGTGAGCCACTGCACCCAGCCTGTAATTATTTTCATTAATGAAATTTCAGTCATTTCTTGTAATCACCTAATTGGCATTCTAACAATATATTTTAAATATAAGTAAGTGTTGTAACTGATGCTTTAGAGAAATCTCTTAACTTGAAAACTGATATGCACACCCTCCTTAAATAATTCTAAAAAAATTTTTTTAAAAGATTAAGAACAAACTTAAAATATTCCTGTTGTCAGAAAAGTAAAATTTATTCCTGCCTTCGAATGTCAGTTCTGAATAGTTTCCCAGTCAAGGACAAAACATTCTTCTTTCCCAACTTTAATTCCATGGCAACTGATTTGTTATTTCGTTTTCTGTTGTTGTTAAATAATATCTTTGTCGTAGAATGGGAAAAACATTTTTTAAGTTCTTAGTACACACATTTGTAAATCAAAATAAATCATTATTTGTCCAACTACAGAAAGAGTTTCATGAGAAACTATGACCATGTTTCTAATAATATATTTCAACTCCAGTTCTTCAGGTATGGTCTACAAGCCCCCAGGCATCCCAACACCTTTTCGGAACATCTGCAGAGTCAAAACTTTCTCAGGCCTGAAAGGTTATTTGCCCTTTGATTTGTCATTTCACAGGTTTACGATAATATTTTAAATCTTTTCAAACATTATTCTAAATATTTTAACTTTATGAAAACTGTAATTTAGAAATTATATCATTCTAAAATAAATGTCTAATTTTTTATATTTAAAGATGGATTGTTGGCTTAAAAGAGACTAGACACTTCCTGCCCATTAGAATGGTGATTACACACAGACACACAGAGAAATAAATGTTGTCAGAGATAGGGAAAAACTGAAACCTTTGTTCACCGATGAAGGGACTGCAAAATAATACAGCCATTGTGGAAGACAGTACGGTGGTTCCTCAAAAAGTTAAACATAGAATTACTATATAATCCAGTAATTCTACTTATTGGTATATGCCTGAGAAAAGTGAAAGAGAGTATAATAGATATTTGTACACTCACGTTCACAACAGCGCTATTTGCAATAACGAAAAGGCCGAAGGAACCGAGTGTCCACCAATGGATGAAAGAACAAAATGTGGCACATATATACAAAGAAATATTATTCAACCCTGATAAGGAAGGAAATTCTGACACATGATACAACATGGATTAACTGAAGACATTATTATGCTAAATGAAATAATCAAGTCACAAAAGGACAAACAGTGTACAATTCCACTTTTGAGGTATCTAGAGTAGTCAAATTCATAGAGACAGAAAGTAAATGGTGGTTGTCAGAGGCTGGGGGAGTGGGGAATAGGGAGTTATTATTTAAGGGGTATGGAGTTTTAGTCTGGGAAGATGAACAAGTTTTGGAGGTAGATGGTGGCAATAGTTGCACAATGTGAATATGCTTAATGCTATGAACTATACACTTATGTGGAACATTTTATGTTATGTACATTTTAATGAAAAAATCCAACATAAAAAAGGAGTATTAGAGGCTGGGCACAGTGGCTCAATCCTGTAATCTCAGCAGTTTGGGTGGCCAAGGGGAGCAGATCATCAGCAGTTGGGAGTTTGAGACCAGCACGGACAACATGATGAAACCCTGTCTCTACTAAAAGTACAAAAAGTAGCCAGGTGTGGTGGTGTGCACCTGTAATCCCAGCTACTTGGGAGGCTGAGGCAGGAGAATAGCTTGAACTTGGGAGGCAGAGGTTGCAGTGAGCCAAGATCGTGCCACTGCACTCTAGCCTGGGAGACACAGTGACACTCAAAAATAAATAAATAAATAAAAATAAAAAAATAACAAAATAGTAATAGGTTTAGAAAGCCTGATTCCTCACCCACAGGTACACATATTTTTTATGCCTAAATATCCTAAAAAAGATGAAACTGACACATTTGAGGTCTCTGATTCATGGAAGGGAAGAAACTACTCAGGAAAAAAAAAACCTGAGAAAAACTATAAAGAAAAATATTAACAAAGTTGTCTTTACCTTGTCTTTATAGATATTAGTAGCTTACTACGTTTTATGCAACAGAATATTTTCAAATAGTTCAGTTGCAGCATCATTTTGAAAATAACCACTAAGGATTTAAAGGAAAATGAATTAATTTTTTTAATGCAGACATGATGAGAACTTTGTAAGACAAACGTGGTAGTATTTCAAGATAGAAATGAAAAAGCCACTGAAACACCTTATAGGGTATCATACTGCATTAGTTGGAGAAGAGCACACAGCAACTGAGATACTAAGAAAGCTTTGTACAACTGACATTGCTGAAGGCTTGCTGCATAAATCAGCAAAACAAAAACAAAACCAGAAATGTGGCAGTGCCACTTCCTAATAACACAGTAACTCCTCAAATGCAAGATTTGTCTACAAACGTGATGACTCAGTTACTATCCCAACTGCAGAGCTGTACCTTTGCCTTACAAATGGATTACAAAATGACTAACTGGTGCTGATGCTAATTGAAAAAAAATTTTGGGGGGTACAGAGCCTTCCTCCATCGCCAGGCACCAGGTTGGAGTGCAGTGATGCGATCTTGGCTCACTGCAACCTCCACCTCCTGGGTTCAAGCAATTCTGCTGCTTCAGCCTCCCGAGTAGCTGGAATTACAGGCATGTGCCACCACACCCAGCTAATTTTTGTATTTTTAGTAGAGATAGGGTTTCACCATGTTGGCCAGGATGGTCTCGATCTCGTGACCTCTTGATCTGCCCACCTTGGCCTCCCAAAGTGCTGGGACTATAGGCATGAAAACTTTTTTTTTTTTTTTTTTAAATGGGAAATCCTGAAAATAAACACTGGTGCCTAAACAGTCAATGTGTTGCATAACTTTTGGAATCTCATGGTTTATCCTTCAAACAACTATGTTCAACACTTGCACTACTGGGGTCTTAGCTTGAATAGAGGTAGTGACAGTAAACTACACTAGCAGACATTGTATTAACATTATTCACTGCCACTCATCTGCAGTTAAAAAAGATAATTTAAGAATGCCCTTGATGAAGCAGTTAAAATTTTATTATCTCTTGACCCTTGATTTCACATCTTTTTGACATTGTGTGTAAAGAAATGGGAAGTATGCATAAAGCACTGTGCATACTGAAGTGCAATGGTCACCTCAGAGAAAAGCACTCCTATGACTGACTGACTGAGTTGCAAGCTCAACTAACTGGTTTTTCTATGGTGTACCATTTTTACTTGAAGGGAATGACTGGCCGATGTACTCTGGATATTTGTACTTGAGCTTTTGGTAGGTATTTCTTAGACTGAATGATGTGTGCCTCGGCACTTCAAAGAAACAGATAACACTATTAGTTGCCAACAATAACGCAAAAATTAAAATTTTATAATGCCTGTCTCCACCACTGTGAGCTTGATAGCTTCTCAACACTTAGATGTTTCTGATGAAATTGATAGTAATGTTAATATGTGTGGGTTTTGATAATATATAATGAAATATGTCAACATTTGGAAAGCTGATACAACTCTGTGAACTGTTTCCAAATAACCAATCTATGGTATTAAATTACACAGGAATAGAAGACATGTCAAGGTACCACATGAACCAATGTATTATAACGGAGTATGAAACTTTCTCCGTTGTGATTCCAAATTCAACACTACAAGAAACGATTGAATTGTCACTCCTGTGATTAGGTTGAATTATATAATAGTCCGTGTTGCTAGCTGACTTGCTCTAGAGACTCCTTGCTAGCTGGATAAAGTAAGCAGTTGGGTTGGAAAAGCTCACATGACAAGGAACTTCAAGTGACCTCTAGGAAAGAGAGGTGGCCTCCAGGAGCTGAAGGTGGCCTCTAGCTAGTAGCCAGCAAAAAGCCAAGCCCCTCAATCCTACATACACATGGAATGTATTCTGCTAACAACCTGAGTAAGCTTGGAGCAGATTCTTCCCAGTCAATCTTCCAGATGAGAGTGCAGCCTAGGTGACATCTTGATTGCAGCCTGATGATTCTAAGAAAACGACCCAGCTAAACTGTGTGCAGAATGCTAACCCACAGAAACTGTGATATAATGAATGTATGTTTTAAGCAAGAAAAGGAAACTATCACTTACTGAACTTTCATGTAGTATATCTACAAAAAGCATATCTGCAATTATCTGACAAAGCTATTAAAATGCTTGTCTCTCTCCAACTACATATCTGTATGAGGCAGGATTTTCTTCACATATTTCAATCAAAACAACACTGCAACAGATTGAATGAGAAAGCAGATTTGAGAATCCAGCTAATAAGCCAAACATTGAAGAGATTTGCAAAAAATGGTATACAGTGATATGCTTCTCACTACATTTTTTTTTTTTTGGTTTTGGAAAATAGTTATTTTTCCTAAAAAAATAAGTGTTTTAACTTGTAATGGGCATTTTGTTATTTTAAATCAATTGATTTTTTAATATCTCACTTTTGATTTCTAATATGGTAAATAATATGCATATGAAACATTCCTTCAGGTCTTCTAAGAAAACATGAGGGCAAAGGGGTGTTAGGACCAACAAATTAGTAACTACTACAATACTTCAACTTCCATCATCTCTGTCATATGATACACTCTCCCTCCTCCTCTACTGCATTTATCTAAATTCTGTCCATTTTCACACTCAGCCATTCCAGTCTACTGTGGGCTCTCTCCCTTCTGAATGCCCAGGGAACTCATCTGGCACCTGTTGATTGCTTTCTTCATTTCAAAATGCATGCATGTGAAGCCCCAAAGGAAAGGGACTGGGCTATGTTGGGGACATGACACATGCTCCAAAACACACCCCCTGCCACCTCTATAAAGAAGTTAATTACAGACTGAATAGGAATGTAATCCATGCCAGCCGCTGGACTTCAATCAACGCTTAATGAAGCAGACCACAAAGGATATGACGGGAGAAAGAATTTAGGACATACATGAGTCTCAGGAGTGTCACCTGAAAAGGTAAATGCGAACAAGGATGCAGATACAGAAATATTTATGTGGAGAAGGTAGTAGATAAGTCAATCAGACCAATAACCTTCAATTCTCAATAATACAGATTGAAAATTATCTGTGGACCATTTTGGAGCAACATGGGGAGAAATAAAGAGTAATATTGTAAGGAAGGTAATGGAGAAATCAACAGAATTCCCCTAATGTGTCTTATTGGAAAATCAAGAAAAAAAATGGATTATAACAAATAGCCATTATTATGGGTTGAAGTGTGTTCGACTCCAAAACACAGTATGTTGAGATTCCAGGCCCCCCAGCCACATACCTATGAATGTGACCTTATTTAGAAACAGGGATGAAATCAAATTAAGTAGGGTGAGTCCTAATCCAGTATGACTGCTGTCCTTATAAATGGAGAAGAGACAGAGAGAGACACAGGGGGAAGATGGTGTGTAAAGATGGCGACAGAGATTGGAGTTATGCTGCGGTAGCTCAGAAATGCCCCGGGTTACCAGGAGAAGCTGGAAGCAGCAAGAAAGAATCCTTTTCCTGAGGCTTTGAAGGAAGCCCGGCCCTGCCAACACCTTAAATTTGAACCTACAGCCTTTAGAACTGTGAGAAAATAAATCTCTCTTGTTTTAAGCCACCCAGTTTGTGGTACGTTGTCATGGCAGCCCCAGGAAACATACAGCAATAGAGTGAGGGACTCCTTATGAGCCATAGCTGCATTTCCCAAGTGGCCCTTCCTTAGCTGCAGACAAAAATGAAACAAAGGAGAGAAAAATTGGAAACACAAATTTGGTTACAGGAACCAAAAAAGCTTTTTTTTTTTACTAGAAATATTTGAACTGCAGTTTTTTTTTTTTTTTTTAAGATTCTGGGAAAATGTTTCTGATCAAACACTGCTGTCAAAACTCAAGCCCACTGAATCTCTATAAATGTGCCTATAAATACATAGACAAGGATTATTTATCCATTTTACACTTCCTCAACTCTTTGCTACAAAAGGAAGTAATCCAGACCTGATATTTAAAGTTACCAATACTATTACTATGTCATGACAAAAGAAATACGAGATGACAAGTAAAACTTTCGGTTTCTCCAAGATTTGATCAAGTCACAGGGACTTCTGGGCCAGGATGACTCTTAGTTCACACACTAGTCATACACATGTCTCAAGATCCAAATCTTATCTCTATTATACATAAGGTACTTGGCATTATAATCCACAGAAAAATTCATGTATTAACACCTACAATGTATATTTGATTTGAGGAGTTTAACTTCATTTTAGAAGTTTAACTTAAGCCTCACACTTGGCTTAAATCTATAAGCAATCAGATATTAGCACTATGGGGATTTCTGAGTCATTGATCTGATGGTCCAACCTGTGTCCCTAAACATCAGGAAGCTCCAATGGTTTTTTTTTTTAATATGAGTCTTACCCATTTGTGAAATCAGTTTAGCATACCCCAACTACTTTTTCAGTAAAACAAATCGAATTTAGAAATTAGAGGGTATCATCCACATTAAAGGTAAGTACTCTCATGAAACTTTTGTTTCAGGTAGGGTGTGTGTGTGTGTGTGTGTGTTGTAGATACTGAGTCATGCAGGCAAGTATTTCTTACTGTCTTTATCAGTACAAACTTTGGCACTAAACCACTAAGGGACAATGCTCCTAATAGTGGCAATCCCTTGCCATAGTTTGAGACCCAACAGGCCAGGGAAAGGAGTGACCTTAATACAGTGGAGATGGCCAGGGGCATAGGCTCATACAAAAAATTAGCCAGGCATAGTGGTGGATGCCTATAATCCCAGCTACTCGGGAGGAGCTACGTGAAGCAGGAGAATCAATTGAACCAGGGAGGCAGAGGTTGCAGTGAGCCGAGATCATGCCACTGCACTCCAGTCTAGGCAACAAGAATGAAACTCCATCTCAAAAAAACAAGAATGACAGGGGAACAAGCACATAGAGAGAGCTGCCTAACAGGAGCTGTGGCCTTTAGGAAATGGAAGCACCCAACCCACAGTGAGCTGGTAGGAAGGGAGCTGCCCACCCCGTCCTCTTGCTGGGACCTCCCCAGTGGCCAATACTAACTAGACACCAGAGGGCAAGAAAGTCCACTCAGCTTAATCTCCTTGGTCACAGAGGGGACTGGCAAAGGGTCAAGAGCAGGTCCAGAGGAGCAATGGAAGATTTCCAGCCACTGTGACTATTAAAGTCTAAAAGCCATCCATGTCATTTATGCTTTCATTAATTGAGCCTAACAACTTTTATTTCTGGGCACCAGATTGTTCCCACATCTGCCCTCTAATCCCAACCTTGAATCAAGGCTCTAATCCAATGCTCAACAACTAGTGCAAAAGATTGGCATGTTTACGAACTCAGGATTTCTGATTTCTCCAGGCCCTCACACTGCTCACCAACCCTTTCAACTGTTCTTGGTCTCCCACTTCACCTATCCCTAGCTATCAGGCTCTGTAGGGCAAAGGCCATGTCTTACTTATCTCTGAACCCCAGACCTAGGTGGCTAGAACACAGGCATATTTGCTGAAATATCTGAGACTGCTTCCTCTCCCCAGATCCACCTACACTTCTCTTCCCACTCAGAGTCAATCCCCAAGCCTAATTACTTTGCCTTTTAAACCTCAAAGCTCATTTCTGCTCTGCTTCAAGACGTCTAACCTCCATTCCCATAGCCATACCCGAGTCAGTTCCTCTACCTCCAGTCCCAGCTCCCTCTAGCTCCACCCTCTAGGGCAATCAATACAAAAAGTTAAGTCCAACAGTATCTCCATCCTGCCTAGAATTCTTCCTTAACTCTGGCTTTGACTTGCTAATTTCTCTACTACCCCTCCCACAACTGCCCTGGAGAAACTTCCTATAATTCTATCCTGTTCTCCCCAACCTCCTCCTTCAAACAAAACATACATGTTTACCTTCAGAAAGTGGTAGGCTGCCCCCGCCCCTCCCTTATGTCCTGCCCTCTCTTCCACTCCTACTGCCCTGGCAAGTGTCCATGCATCCTTCAAACCCCTGGCCAGGTACAGCTCATGAAATGAAACCTGCCCAGCTTCCCACCTCTCCTTGCCCCAAAGCCCCTCGATCACACCATGTCCTTTTGTTTCCATGGTCCTCTATGCCTCTTAAATCTATAAGCCCACTGGGGGCAGGAACTGTGTCTTATTTTACTCTACATCCCCAGCAGAAAACACAATACTGACCCAAAGTCACTATCTAAATCTTCCCCCGTGTGACTGAGGTGCCTCTATATGATCAGATTTTTATAGGCAACCCTCACACAGGATCTTCTAATCATAAGGCTGACTGAGACCTCACTAGAATACACAGCACATTTTTTAGGTGATGCTGATGGAATTAAGAGACTGCAGTGACTTCCCATCATGCTTAAGGCAGGTACCTCACTATGCCTGCACTGCTTGCAGAATCTGGCCACCTCTCTGTAGAGAGGAGTGGCACAAGTTACAGCTGGCCCTTGAACAACACGGGTTTGAATAGTGCAGATTCATTTATGTACAGAACTTTTTCAACCAAACAGGAATCAAAAGTGCAGTATTCTCAGGATAATGAAACCTGTGTACATCAAGGGCTGACTTGTAGGAGATGTGGTTCTGCAGGGCCAATTGCAGGACTTGAGAAGACACAGATTTGGGCATACGTGGGGGTCTTGGAACCATGCCCTCAAGTACACTGAGGGATGACTGTACATCTACATATCCTTTTTCAAAAGTCCATCATTACTAGAGGTCAAATTCTAGGATTCATGCCTCTATAAAAGAATAATGGGGGTCGAGCATGGTGGCTCATGCCTGTAATCCCAGGACTTTGGGAGGATGAAGAGGGTAGATCACTTAAGGCCAGGAGCTTGAGACCAGCTTGGCCAACATGATGAAACCTTGTCTCCACTAAAAATACAAATAATAGTAATAACCAGACATTGTGGCAGGCACCTGTAATCCCAGCTACTCAGGAGGAGGCTGAGGCAGAAGAATCGTTTAAACCTATGAGGTGGAGGTCACAGTGAGCAAAGATGGCACCACTGCACTCCAGCCTGGGTGACAGAGTGAGACTCCACGTCAAAAAAAAAAAAAAAAAGGGAAATATACCCTAAATATCTCTAAAAATGTATCAGAAGTCTATGCCTGGGGGCTCCCCATAAGCCCTTCATTTCTGCCCCAAATAAGGCCATAAAATAGCTTTGATCATTTCCCATTAGAGTGGCTCTCTGGTCTTGCTGATAGATGAGCCAAGAGTTGAGGATGTCTCTTCTGCCATCAGCTTCCAACACCACATTGGACCCACCACCTACTTGTCCAAGGCCCAGGACCACCCAGAGAGTTTAACATCCTCAGCTTGAGGCAGAGGACAAGAGCAATCAATGCAGGCATATTTATCTGGAAGATACTTGGCACTGCATCTGATAGAGACTAAATTGAGAGAAAACCTTTTTAACCGGTCTGTCTTGATATCCTGCAATTCCACCACATTGCAATCCAAAAATGACAGTTCAGCAATCAAAATGTTGAGCCCAGCAACAGGAGGCAGGCTCAATTTTAGTAGCTCCTAAGATAGAGATATCATGCCTGTCAAAAATAAAGAATCCATCAAACTTGAGATAATCCAGATAATTTTTAAATCAACATGAAATTAATGAATGCTGAAAATCAAACATTGTTCAAACACAAGAGACTGCATCACACAAATCTGCATGAAGCAAAAACATTGTTACTTTACAGAAAATCCAGAACTACAGAGCACTCAGTCTGAAAAATCTAAGCAAGTCAACCTGTCAGGATTTGAAACTGCTATTTAAGACAATCAGTGTGGCAGATATAATGGACCACTAAACTACTGCCTACAGCAAATGTGGAGATGATGAGGCATTTGAAGACAATCAAGAGAAAAGTTGCATTTAGATTTTAAAAAACCACTACGCCATATATAAAGACTCCAAACTTACAAACACTGTGTTGACTACAGGTCATTCTCATTTTTATTTTTTAAATGTGGAATTTGCCATAGTTTAGCAAGCATTTATAGTACCTATACTATATATCAAATACTGTGCTAAAAACAGAGATAAGAAAATAAATAAGACTCGCTCTGTGTTCTTGGGATGTAAAGACGACGAGGAAGCAGATCCAAGAGAGATCACTTCAAAGCATCAGAGGAAATTTTTGGCCAACTGGACATGTGGTGGAATATGAGGAAGGAGTGAAGGGTATCCAGGTTTCTGGATTAGACAACCAGGTGAATGATGGTGCCATGTGTGAAGCAACAGGCTACAAGGAATGGGGCAAGCAGATCAACAGAGAATAGAGTGGGCTTGAATTGTATGTGGGACATCCAGGGGATGAAGTCCAGAGGCAGAGAGATATTGGGGTCTGGAGGAAATTCAGAGCTAGAAGTGTGTATCTGGGGATAGATGAAGCCACGCGGTGAATGAGATCCCATGGAGGACAAGGCCAGAACCCCAGTGTACCAGCATGTAAGAAGATGGTATAGAGGGCATCTGTGAAGACTAAAGGAAGACAGATGTTTAAAAATCCTGGAAGGTCCATGAGTAGAGGGCTTTAAAAAGGTGGGAACTCATCAAAAATAAGAAATAAAAGGTAACTGTGTATTTTAGCCACTACATCTTGATAATTTTATTGAGAATAGTTTTGCAGGGGAAGGTGTGAAAACCAGCATAACCAACTGAATGATGAGGCCTTAACAGACATACCACAAAGTTAGGTAATTTATCACCCAATTTTCTGAAAATGTTCCACTTTAAATTTATACGCATATTTTTACACTCATGCAAATTAACCAAACTGTGAATGTGTTTGTAATAAAATGGAGCGTGACATTAAGAGAGCATGAAAATCCCTGACCTGCCAAGTAAGAATTCCAGCCATCCTGCTACAGAGACTGTGAGAAGAGGCCATGTGAGGAGGATCAGGTCCTGAGGCCATAGGGCAGAGAACCAAGGAACCCAGCTGACAGCAAGAACCAAGCCCTCAGACGTGTATCACCAGGCAAGTTGATGGAGCCAGCTCCCAGCCAGTAGAGCCATTCTAGCTGAGGCACCAGACATGTGAGTGAGGATGCCATCTTGAACATCTCAGACCTAGAAAACACCACATAAAGACTTCACCCATGTGCTTGATCCAAATTCCTGACCTACACAATCATGTTGAGTGGTTTTTTCAGCTACTACGTTTTGGTGGTAGTTTATCATACAACAAGAGATAGCTGCAATAGGTGGTGATGGACCCATGGTAGAAGAATTCCTTCTTTGAAAAAGAACTTACTGATATCCTACTATGACCTGGTGTTGTTCTGGGAGCTAAGGGTTCAGAAATGAACAAAAATAAGGGGTATGGTAGGAAGAATGAGGTCTGTGGATAGAACTAAAGCATGGAACGGCAATAGAAAAGGTGGTTGTAGGGTTATAATTATAAATAGGGTGGTTGAGAAGGCTTCCTGAAGAAGAAAACAAGTATTTAAGATGGAAACTATGAAAGAAGCAGATAGGTAGATGATTGAGAGAAAATATTTTAGGCAGAGAGAGAAGATAGCATTAGGTAAAAGCCTGTCTGGCACACTTGAATAACAACAGATCACCATGACTGATGCAGGAGCAGAGACAGCTGTGTGGTAGATGACAAGGTCAGAGCGGTAAGAGAGGGCACTGGAATCCCGAAGAGCATCCAAGTTCAATGATTTACCAAGAGAACTCAAGGAATTCAGCATATACTCATAGTTGTTGATATACCTCTTTCAAAGACAGAATCTTGCTCTGTTGCCCAGGTTGGAGTGCAGTGATGCAATCTTGGCTCACTACAAACTCCACCTCCCAGGTTCAAGCGAGTCTCCTGCCTCAGCCTTCCAAGTAGCTGGGATTACAGATGTGCACCAACACGCCCGGCTAATTTTTGTATTTTTAGTAGAGACGGGGTTTTGCCATGTTACCCAGGCTAGTCTTGAGCTCCTGAGCTCAGGTGATCAGACCACCACAGCCTCCTGTAGTGCTAGGATTACAGGTGTGAGTCACTGTGTCAGGTCCTTTGTGGATATAATGTATTAATGAAAAGATATTAAGCCAAATCAGCAAAAGAAAACAGCATTCGGGACGAAGTCTGGAGGAAACCATGCACAAGCTTCCAAGGGTCTTCTCCTTGTGGAGAGGACTTGCTTAACTCCCCCAGCAGGGAGTTCTTATCACATGTGTGAAATGTTGCCTACCAGGGAAACTCAATAATAACTTAGCACCCAAGGTTTTTACTGTGGACTGATCACATAAGCATCTTCTGCTTAGCATGTACAAAAATTCTAGACTTTCAGAAAAAGAACAGGTGTTCAGCATAAGCCATATTGTTTGCAGAAACAGTTTTGCACAGTGAGCCATTCCGATGAGGATGAGGGAATGGTGGGAACCCATCACAAAGCTAACTTTCCAGATGCTACCAGCCAAGGTCTGGATTCACAAGCAGGCCTTTCTAAGGGTAGTAGTCTCAGGCCTGCTATGTTAACTTTTTTCTGCACGGAGTCAGACTGCATAGCACTTCAAAGGCCATTTAAGAGAGATGGGAGCCACTGGAAGATTTTGAGTAGAATTTTAAATTATCACTCTAGCTTTTGTGTTAAGGAGAGACAGCATCGTGGGAGGATGGGGGTCAGAAATGGAGACACTGAAGTCTATCTAAAGAAAAACTAATTAAACAAGCCCCAATATGCCAACAGGAAAGAGGGAAAAAGTAGTCAGATTCCAAATCTAGTATGAGAGCAGAGTCAACCAGATTTGCAGACTGACCGTATGTGGATCATGAGAAGAAAAGAACTGTCAAGGGTGATGACAAGCACTTCTGGCAGAACAGCTAGAAGAATGGCCTTGCCATTTAATGACATGCTAAGATTGAGGAGAAGTTGATTTGGAGTTGGGGATTAGGAATTCATTTGGGGACATGCTATAAGTGTAAGATGTCCACCAGATATACAAAAGGTCAAGAAGGCAGCCATATACAGAATGGGCAGCTCAGGGAAGAGACCTGGGCTGGAGCTACCCCAATGCTATTTGGAACCATATTACTGTTAAGCAGAGACAGAAGGGGAGATTTAAGAACTGAGTCCTGGGGTACTGTAGCACTGAGGTGGAGAAGGAAAGAAGGAACCAGTCAAAGAGCCTGAGAATGGACAGTAGATAGGAAAAAAGTGAGGAGACTGTAGGCACCAGGAAGCAGATGCTTAAAATGTTTAGTTTTTATTTATTTTTTTATTTCCATGGATTTTTGGAGAACAGGTGGTGATTCATTACATAAGTTCTTTATTGGTGATTTGTGAGATTTTGGTGTACCCATCACCCGAGCAGTATACACCACACCCAATTTGTGGTCTTTTATCCCTCACCCACCTTCCCACCCTTTCTTCTTGAGTCCCCAAAGTCCTTTGTGTCATTATTATTCCGTTGCATACTCATAGCTTAGCTCCCACTTATGAGTGAGAACATACAGTGTTTGGTTTTCCATTTTTGAGTTGCTTCAACTTAGCCTAACAGTCTCCAATCTCATCCAGCTGGCTCCAAATGCCATTACTTCGTTCTTTTTTTATGGCTGAGGAGTATTCCATCGTGTGTGTGTATGTGTGTGTGCAATACAAACACACATACACACACACACACACACACACACACACACACACACACGGTTTCTTTACCCACTGGCTGACTGATGGGAATTTGGGTTGGTTCCATGTTTTTGCAGTTGCAAATTATGCTGCTATAAACACTCGTATGCAGGTATCTTTTTCGTAAAATGACTTCTTTTCCTCTGGGTAGATACCCAGTAGTGAGATTGCTGGATCAAATGGTAATTCTACTTTTGGTTCTTTAAGGAATCTCCACACTGCTTTCCATAGTGGTTGTACTAGTTTACATTCCCACAACAGTGTAGAAGTGTTCCCTGTTCACCACTTCCACATCAACATCTATTTTTAAAAATTTTTTTGATTATGGCCATTCTTGCAGGAGTGAGGTGGTATCACATTGTAATTTTGATTTGCATTTCCCTGATCATTAGTTATGTTAAGCATTTTTTCATGTTTGTTGGACATTTGCATATCTTTGTTTGCGAACTGTCTATTCATGTCCTTAGTCCGCTTTTTGACGGGATTGATTTTTTCTTGCTAATTTGTTTTAATTCATTTGTAGATTCTGGATATTAGTCCTTTGTCAGACATATAGATTGTGAATATTTTCTCCCACTCTGTGGGTTTTCTGTTTACACTGCTGACTGTTCCTTTTGCTATGCAAAAGCTCTGAATTCAAACTACTATAAGACCATGGTCACCAAAACAGCATGGTACTAGCATAAAAATAGGCACATAGACCATTGGAACAGAACAGAGAACCTGGAAATAAACCCAAATACTTACAGCCAACAGATCTTTGATAAAACAAACAAAAATCATAAAGTGGGGAAAGGAAACCTTATTCAACAAATGGTGCTGGGGTCATTGGCTAGTTACCTGCAGGAGAATGAAACTGAATCCTCATCTCTCACCTTATACAAAAATCAACTCAAGGTGGATAAAGGATTTAAATCTAAGACCTAAAACCATAAAAATTCTGGAAGATAACATTGGAAAAACCCTTCTAGACATTGGCTTAGGTAAGGATTTCATGGGCACGAACCCAAAAGCAAATGCAATAAAAACAAAGATAAACGGCTGGGACTTAAAGATGTTTGGTATTTCTACCAGTCAAGAAGCATCTAAATCTCAGTAAAAATGGCCCACATTTTTGTTCACTGCTCCTTTTTGGCCCACTCTCTGCCCAATACCAGAGACAGAGGTTGTACATCCTTAGCTTCCTGCACCAAAGGTATAAACTGAGGCCAATCTAGGCTTACTCTCCAACCCAGCTAGTTTTTGTGCTAGTGTCTAGGTGGAGAATTTAAGGTTTAAAGGCTCTCTCTCCACCATCTGTGGATACCAAATATTAACTGAAGATCCCTTTCTGATGGCGAAGTTCTCAACAGAACTGATTAGCAATGTCAAGTTAAGGACTTCCTGGGATCTGGGCTTTAGGCCAGTGGTTTCCAAAAGCAGCTAACAAAACCAATCAGAGGAGAATTGGACCTGAACTGTCCACTAAAGCAAGCCATTTGAGGCGATTTACATTTAAGTTAATTAAAACTTAAAATTCAGCTCTTTAGTTGCACTGGGCACATTTCAAATACTTAACCGCATGTGTCTAGTGGTTGCTCTATTGAAAGATGCAGACCTAGAACATCTCTTCAGCCCAGAAAGTTCAATTTCAACTACATTGCTTTAGATTTTCCAGGAGATGCCCAAAGCTCTGAATTTTCACACACTCTTAAGATGTCTGTAACAGTACATTCTGAAAATAGTCTCACAAAAATCCGACAACACTACCATTTGCCCAGCTTCCTCAATGGGAATCCATGGCACAGAACATCGTGGGAATGAATTCCTGGTTAACTAAGCCACTTGATTAAGCACAGGGCCTCAAGCTACAAATAAGGGCTGTGGCTCCCAATCTCACACAGAGCAATTAACTCAGCTCAGCTAACTAGCCAAACCCGGTTCAGCAAACCCTATGTGCATGGATTATACACAGAGGGTGTGTGGGTATGTGTGTGAGAGAGAAAGAAAGAGGAGGGAGGGAAGAGAGGGTCCAGGAGCGCACACTCAAATGCCTACCAGCAGGCCAGGCAAATAGCAACAATGCATTAAGGCCATAAGTGAGAAAATAAGCACAGAGTAAAACAGTCAAGCATGATGACAATAACTTATCCTCACTGTTAGGGAAGCAATAATGGAGACTGGAGCATTAGTAATTCCTTCTAAAGATAACAGAGATGTCTCAGCTCCAACTGATGGTTGCTATGTGGTAAAGTGAAGCCCAGCATTGTCAGAGCTTCGGATTTGCTTTTCCCCCCAAAGAAGATAGGAATCTGGAGTTTTGCATGAAATCTCAAAATATTTAAACGCTGACAACTAAGTCAAAACATAACACTGAGCAGACCTATGAAAATATGTCTGTGGGTCACAGCAGGCCCCACAAGCCCTCTGTTTGCAAACTTAGAAGCTGCTCGATGCAAGCTGAGTAGCAGAACCAAAACCAAGTTGGAAGCATGTGTAATGCTAATGGCGAGTCAGTTCTGTCCACATGCTGTGAAGAAGAGATGTCTGAATGGGAAATAAAGCACTCAAGTAAGTCAGTGCCCAATAAATTGAAAAGAATTTGAAGAATCCAGTCTGGATCCAGCTTATGTATATAAGAGCCTTAAAATCTATTTAGGTAACAAGGCAACAAAGCCTCAAAAGTTTAGAAATTCAGGAGTTCTAGCCCATTCCTCAAGACTACTCGCACACATTATCATATCAGATTCTTGTCACTACACAAATTCTCTTAGATTCTGATCCCACAGTTAATCAGAGAATAGAATTGTTAGTCTTAAAAGACTATTCCCAGTTTTGGGAAGCTGCCCCAAGTTGTAAAACAAACTTATTATTCAAAATATCTGAATACAGAAAAGATTCATCTAGAAAACCCTATCAAATGTAATTTTTCCTTTTTAAAGAAGGAAAATACAGTCAGATCCACAAATTGGCCTTTGTAAATTCCAGCATGCCCACTGTCCCATGGATTCAATGCTCTTATTTCTCATTCATTTCAACCCCTGAATATACTATACATCCTCATTACTAGACAACCTTTCCCTTATTCACCTCATCAGTGTATACATACACACACACACACACACACACACACACACACACACACACACATATATATATATACAGTCAGCCCTCTGCATCCATGCATTCTGCGTCTGCAGATTCAACCAACCACAGATCAAAAATATTTGGAAAAAAATTTTATACTGAACACATGCCGACAATTCTCTTGTCACTATTCCCTAAACAGTATAATAACTGTTTAAATAGCATTTGCATTGTATTAGGTATTATAAATAATCTAGAGATGACTTAAAGTATACAGGAGAATGTGTGTAGATTATATGCAAACACTGCACCATTTTGTATCAGGAACTTGAGCATCTGCAGATTTTAGTATCCAAGGGAAGTCCTGGAACCAATCCCCTGTGGATACTAAGGGACAATTGTGTATATACAGTGAATGTTCACCTTAACCAATTATTTGAGCAGCTTCTGTAGGAAGAATTCATTAAGAGTAGTAGAGGGACAGTTGTTTAATAACAGGTTCTTGTGTAGACATCTAAGATACAGTGTCTGTCATCAAAAGAGTTTAAAATCCAATGAGTTCAACAATACAAAAAGATTAGAGGAGTAGATTAGTGTTTCTCAGCCTTGGCCAGGTATTAGAATAGGCTGGAGTGCTTTTTAAAATACCTATGCCCAGGACCCACTCCATTCCAATGAATGAGAATCTCGGAGAAAGGGACACCGGCATCTGTACTGTTTAAAATGTTAAAAGTGAAAATTAGACGTGAATGATCATCAGCCAGGGTTGGGAGTCCCTGCAGGATAAAGCTCAATTACCCATTCACCTGTGACACATAATTTTGATGATAAATTTAACTAATTACTCAATGATATCCACCATGAGTACGTAAGATGACAATCACTTCTCCACTAACAACTTCACTAAATTGGATTTGGAGGCTGGGACACTGATAAAGTGCCAGGATTCCGAGATAAGCAATCCCACAGTTTTCACCTCGCAGTCTACTGCCTTTCCAGTGGAGTTCATCACGTGGCGGCAGGAAACTCAAAGTCCCAGAGTTCAGAACATAATTAAAGCCTTCCCAAAAGCTCCCCCTGTATCTTCAGGATCGCACCAACCTATGGCCTTATCTGATCGGGGGCTCCCAACATTCCAAAAATACATTTTCTTTGTTCTCAGCAGGTACTGCTTACTTCTCAGATGCTGTCCACAAAATCTGGAATGATATCCCTGGGTTTCACTTACTTTCCAAACTCTAGAAACGTCAACTTCCATCCTCAATCTTGAAACCTGTCTTTCTCCCATCTAAATTACTCAGTGCCTCAGGAAAAAATGGACTTACTTTACATTTACATTCATGTTCCCACCAAATTTGTTTCTTTATACACTCCTCACCTGGATATGTAAGATCGTGCCCATTTTCCCATTTGTAGTTAGATTGAGGAATATTTTCATAGTTGATTTGCAAATCCTACAATATTTGCCTCAGAAACTAGACTTTCTACATGTTGACCTCACAAAAGATATAATTAAGAGAAACTCGTGGATTGTCCATCACTATTCAAGAAGCAAAACTGTTATTTTTAGGTTGATGTGATACAGCAGTTAGTAGATAGAAATGTCTTTTTTTAAACAAGTATTAAATAATATGAATAAATTCCAATTCATTACATACATAGTACTAGGCTATATTAATAGCTGAGAGCAAAGATCTAGAAACACAGTTCCTGTTTTCTAAACCCAAATCTGCCACTTATTTGTCATGTCTCTGTGTCTCTTTTTCCCCCAATTTATAAAATGGGGATACGAAAGGTACCTACCTCCTAAAGTTATTGTGGGAAGTAAGTCATAAGCATAAAGCTCTTAAAACAGGGCCGGCACAGAATAAGCACAATACATGTTATTTATTAATATGATTATTAGTATGAAGAGCAGGGCTTAAAACCTTGCTGTCTAAGGGGACAAGCCTTTTAGCTGTCTTTCTCTGATTTATGGAAAGTGTATTTATTACACATTGTTTTTCAAATTGAATTTTGACATTTCTGGCCCTTTCTCCTTTAAAAAAATAAATAAAAGCATGGAATTTGTTATTTATTGACCTTTCAGAGCCATTAGGAATACCATTTAATAGTAGTTAAATCTTGTTATGATTACAATATTTAAAATGAAACTATGGGAGAAGAGTATTTGGGGAGGAGAAAAAAATCATCACTACTTCTTAAAAGGAAATTTTGAAAACAAAAAAAGGAGAATTTATATGCTGTAAGTGACCTTTAAATGTCACATTCACTAATATATAAATGTAAACAGAAAAATACAAGTCTGGTAGTAACAGTAAACTGATCAATGCAATTATAGCATGGGTTCTGTGACATTATAAGTTACATTTCCATTCCAGAATATCAATAATTTTTTACCACATTTTACGATCAAATTATAGTGCATTAAATACCATCTGGTTAGTTCTCTTCATATTATTTACAAGCTTGTAGCTTATCTCTTACTTGGACAGCTCCCTGTACTAAACTTCTAAGTATACAAGATTTGAGGGCATAAATTATTTTTTAATAGTTAAAAAGTAACTTCAACTCAGTAAGACAATCCTTCAACGAGATCTCAGTAACTTGTCTGGAGTAATGTTGTTACTATTAACTTTAGCCCACTTTCAAGAGTTAATAAAATATGATTTAATAGACAATTGGTTACTTGTTTAAATCTCAGATAACTGAATTACATGATATAAACAGCACACCCTATTTTAACAATGGCAAACACACACACAACATTGCGGTAGATTTTCACATGGTTTTATAAGCCACTTTAATTTTTTCCCTCCTCCATCTCAATTCCATCAATAAAGAGTTCATCTTTAGGGGTTGGTCCAGTTCTTGAGTATCCAAAGCAACATACACATGTATTTATCCAGAGGTGGATTATTTTTTTTTTCTGTAGAATAGTTCTTAATAGAGGCAAAGACAGTGCAAGTATTTTCTTAAACCCCTCAACTATATACTTTTAAGAAATAACTACTTTTATGCTTTGGATAACCTATAAGAAGTTAAAATGTAAGATGATTTACATTTTTCCATCACTAGATTGACCAACCTGCTATATTACTCACATGGCCTAAGACCAAATTTTAAGAGAACCATTAGCTTCTAAGACAAGAATTTGTGACTTACCCTGTTTGAGAAGGATTTGAGACATACAAAATGTTCCATGTGAAGATTCAAAAAATTAAAAGGTTATCCAATGTATTTTTAAAAGTTTCATAGAGGAAGTCCCAGAGGCCCAATGTTACCCAAATACTAGGCATAGGTTCTAGCGCCAGATATTTTCTCATCATGTATTCCACACTTTAAAAAAAAATTCTCACTTAATTTTTACTTGTTCCTGACTTCAGCGACAGAGGTAGGGACATCTTTCTCATTTTAACAGTCACTCAGGACCTGAACAACAGCCCACACACATGGTAAATGCTCATAGAATCTGTGGCATTAAACTGAAAACACTCAAAATATAGACTGGCTGGATAAGCAAACAGCATCATTCTCCCACCTGCGTTCCTGCCCAAGTCACTGAGACAGGGCAGCTCACAAGGTCGAAACTCCAAAGGCCCCATCAGTTGTAACTTCCGAGTATGTGTCGCTTGCACAATCAACTTTCTAACTCCAAGGAGCTGAAGTGAGGCAAGTCTTAATGGGTCAAAAATCACACTTAGATAAACAGCACCTTTTAAGACGTTCCCTCAAACAAGTTCTAAACCGGTGCTTCTCAAACTTCAGTGGGTATTCTAATCACCTGGGGATCTCGTTAATGAGCAGATCCCGAGTCAGTGGTTTTGGTGTTTAAGCCCTCAGATTGGGCAGGTCTAAGGAGCTCCCAAGAGATTCCCATGCTGCGGTTCCACCCACCATTCTCGGAGTTCGGGGCCCACAAATGCCCAAAGACACCCAGGTCTCTGATATTAGCAATAGACAACAGCTGCAGCTACAGGCAGTGCCCCATAATCCCCTGGGATTTCTGCATCCCCTGAGCGTCGCCGCCACCACCGGGTCGCACCTGGCAGGTGCCTTGGCCGCAGCCGCGCCCCCCTCCTCCGCTCGGCGCTCACCTTCTCCCGGGTCTTCAGGTACCGCTGCAGTGCCTGCTGGGTGAGCTCGCCGACGCGCAGCTGGCCCTCCTTGCAGGGCACCACGATGCCCGTCCTGCCGAAGCACACGGTCACTTTCATCCTGGCCCCCGGCGACCACGCCGGGCAGGGCCGAACAGGTGTCTGACCCCGCGGGTGCAGCCCCCCACTCTCGGAGGACCCCAGGCGCTGGTGGGCCTGGAGACCCGGGGCGCCGCTCCCCGGGGCACCCTGAGGCCCGGGGGCTCGCGGCAGCGCCCCTTCCACCCGGGCAGCGGGAATCGGGGAGGGGCGGCCGCGGAGAGGGCTCACCTCCCAGGTGCCCGGCGGCCCGGGACGCGGCGGCTCTGCGGCCCGGCTCCTCCTCCTCCACCTCCCGCTCCGCTCCTGCCCGGCCCAGGCGGCTGCTCCGCGCCCACCAAAGCGAAACTGCCGGCCCTGCCCTGTCGCTGGCCCTGGCCCTGGCCCTGGCGGCGGTGGCAGGGCCGGCCCCAGGCCCCGGGCTGGAGTGGGCGGCGGCGGCGGCGGCGCGCGGGGCTGGAGTTGGGAGGAAACTTTTGCGCCGGCTCCCAACTCCTCCGCGGCGCCCGCGCTCTGGGCTCCTGCGGTCCCGGGGCCCGCCTGGGCCCGGCTCTTAAAGGGGCCGCCGCGCTCCCCGGCCCCGCCGCGCGCCGGGCGACGCCGTGCCCAGGCTCTGTGGGCGGGTAAGTGGAGGCCGGGAGCTTCGTCCCCTCAGCTGGGTCGCTCCCTGGCTAGCTCCCTCTCGCACGCATGCACACGGAGCTCTGGGGAGCTGTAAGGGGACCCGAGGGCTACCCACTCGGGGATTGAAACCGGATCTCAGAACGCACACCGGAGAGAAGAGCGAGGAGACTGCAGAGCTGCACCCTTCACAGGAGGGGACCGCAGCAGGATGCAAAAGGAGCCCAGGAGCAGGTGCTTCTAGTCACGCCCACCAAAAACACCCTGGGGGCGAGGCTGCCAGGTGCTGAGAGGCTGGAGTGGCCCGAAGGCCTGTTAGGAGCTCGCTTAAGCACAGCCTTGCAGCTGCTGTCTGGAGCCCTGGGATAGCAGAGCTGAAGGGAACCTTTTCCTTTTACAGACGAGGACACTTAGTATTCGGCCAAAGGTCACATCCCAAACCCAGATATGATCGCGTGTGTTGACACATAGCCTTCTGGAATGCGACTACTGTTGTGCATTTTATTAGGAAAAAAAAAAAAGTCAAACACTTTTAGGCTCATGATTTGGCAGGTGTGTTATCTATCACCAATTGAAATGGGACTATGCTGGGGAAAATCAACGAATTACACTTGTTTCATCCTTAGCTCTCATGTAAATGAGCTCCTTTGAGCTTAACGACAACCACTATACTACTATTCGCATCTTGTGCATAAAGAATGGTGCCCCGGGGAGGTCAACAGATGGTAGTGTTAGTTCTGTTGAAAAGAACTCAGGTCTTCGGAGCTCAATCTCTGGTCTCTCCCAGCAGTTTTCTTAGCCATCCCGTAAGACCCTCAGGGCTGCATCATGTGTTTCTCTACAGAAGGATTTACTCCTATGTGGACACACTTACGTTGAAGTTGAATTGCCTAGGATGGTATCATAATGCACAGGAGATTAAATGTATGGGTTTTGAGAGATTTCTTTAGTTAGCTCATTCATACATTCAATAAATATATATTGGTTGTCTTCTATGTATAGAAGGTCAATGGCAACCAAGAGGATCAGGCAAACCAAGTCCATAGTAATTTGGTTGCAAATCCAATACAAGCTAATTTATATTAAATAAACCAAAGACAGAATCGATCTCCTCATAGAATCAGAAGATCCAGAGAACACTCCCTTGAGGCAAGGTTGAAAGCAGAAACTCAAACCATATCCTCAGGGGCTAGCTCTCTCCAGCTCTTGGCTCTATCTGTTCCTCAGTGTGGTCTCGATTCTCAGGCCAGCTCTCTTCAAAGGAGGCACTATATCCTCATATTAGAGATGAGTAGCTGAGGCCAAAGAAGGTTAAATGGTTTGGTTAAAATCTCATTCCTAGAATGTACCAGAGGCTGGCTTAAAACCCAGGCCAACTGATTCCAGAGTCTTCATTGTAACTTCTGTGTTGCTTCTTACATGGGAAGTACCAAATGAGTAAATCAAACAAACAAATAAATACTAATGCCATGCATTAATGTGCGGACCTCACTTTTAATATTGGGTATTTCATGGACCTGTAGAATGATACAGAGCAAAGATTTTCCAATGATGAAATAACTTTGCATGTTGCGATTCTTCCTGCTTTGTGGCTTTTTTCTTTACAGTTGCTCCAGATTCATTTTCTGCTACTCCAGTCATGAATAGCTCCTGTTTCTCTCCACAAACTCCTTCTCAGCCCAACTTTAGTTTCTTCCGAATACCTAGAATCCCCCACCCAAAGTCCTGGCTTTGAGAATCTTCATGTGAACCATAAAGAACATTCCAGCTCTCCCAATTCCACTTGGGAAGTTGGAATCAGGACTTAGGGTATGCAGCAGAGGTCATGCCATTGTGAGATGAAGGAAGAGACGACTCTAGACAAGGATAAGAAGGGTGCATTGTGCAATTCTGCACACCACAGGGTGACCTTTTATAGCCCTAACTCTTCATAGTTAGTATGAAGAGTTTAGTATTGACATTTCATGTTTATTAAATAGCCGGCTTTAATTTGTTATTCAGCCTCATCACAGCATACATAGAAACAATTTATCATATATCAACAAGTGATTTTTAAAAAGAACACAATTGCAAAACATAGTCATTCATACCCAGCAAGTTCCTAAATCAATATTTCATGCCTCATGGGACCACCTGGGCAGAAGACAATAGATAATTTGCCTTGATTGAGTAATACTAGAGGATTCTAGGCCCGGGTTCCATTTTCTTGTTTTGCCTGCTCAGTGGATAAATACTGCCTGTGATATGATATTTTTCCTTTTGTTATCCAACAGCTTAGCAAGTACTGGAGTAGCCAGTAAAGAAATGTTATACAGAGAACAATAATCCTAAGCAATATTATTAAACTGCCCTGACTTGTGAAAGTTTAACTAAAATGTCAGGCACTATCAGGTGTATATTGAATGAAGAATGATAATATTTGATCTATAGGTGACCAGTAATCAATTCATATGTTAAACAAAATATTTTCACCTTTCAAGGAATTATTTATAGCAAGTACTATTTATCACAAAAAAATTAATCAATTTTACTAATTAAATTATTTCTAAAACCCTTGGATCATTAGTAGATCATGTTCTTTGCTCCCTTCTGAAAGCAACGTGCAAGGACTGCATTAAAAAAAGAGAAAAATGGGGATTATTTTTCACTTTTTTCTTTTCATATTTAAAAGTGAAGTGTCTGGGTTATTGTTTAACTGGGCAAGAATGGATTCTTCTTTAGATGTTTTTGTCTATAAATACTGCATGGCATTTATTTGTTGATGTTTTTGGTTATTTTTTTTCCCATTTATTTATTTTATTGCATTTTAGGTTTTGGGGTACATGTGAAGAACATGCAAAATTGTTGCATAGGAACACACATGGCAGTGTGATTTGCTGCCTTCCTCCCCATCACCTACATCTGGCATTTCTCCCCTTGCTATCTCTCCCCAGCTTCCCACCCCCCACCCTCCCTCCCCTATTTCCCCCCAACTGACCCCAGTGTGTAGTGCTCCCCTCCCTGTGTCCATGTGTTCTCATTGTTCAACACCCGCCTATGAGTGAGAACATGCGGTGTTTGATCTTCTGCTCTCCTGTCAGTTTGCTGAGAATGATGGTTTCCAGGTTCATCCATGTCCCTACAAAGGACCCTAACTCATCGTTTTTGATGGCTGCATAATATTCCATGGTGTATATGTGCCACATTTTCCCTATCCAGTCTATCGTCGATGGGCATTTGGGTTGGTTCCAGGTCTTTGCTATTGTAAACAGTGCTGCAATGAACATTCGTGTGCACGTGTCCTTATAGTAGAACGATTTGTAATCCTTTGGATATATACCCAGCAATGGGATTGCTGGGTCAAATGGAATTTCTATTTCTATGTCCTTGAGGAATCGCCACACTGTCTTCCACAATGGTTGAACTAATTTACACTCCCACCAACAGTGTAAAAGTGTTCCTATTTCTCCACATCCTCTCCAGCATCTGTTGTCTCCAGATTTTTTAATGATCGCCATTCTAACTGGCGTGAGATGGTATCTCAATGTAGTTTTGATTTGCATTTCTCTGATAAAACCATTCAGGACGTAGGTGTAGGCAAGGACTTCATGACCAAAACACCAAAAGCATTGACAACAAAAGCCAAAATAGACAAATGGGACCTAATCAAACTCCACAGCTTCTGCACAGCAAAAGAAACAATCATTAGAGTGAATCGGCAACCAACAGATTGGGAAAAAATTTTTGCAGTTTACCCATCTGACAAAGGGCTGATATCCAAAATTTACAAAGAACTAAAACAGATTTACAAGAAAAAAACTAACAAGCCCATTCAAAAGTGGGCAAAGGTTATTATTTCTGTAGCTCTCCTGTATAACCATGCTCCTCACCCTAATGGGAATTTTATGGGCCACCAGTTTTTTGGAAGGTCCATCTTTTTGCCTATCCTATAAGCAAGACTCACAAGTCTCTACAAATGATACAGCTAGATCACCCCTCCTTATACTGAATTCCACTCTGTAGAAACTAATATTCTCCCTCAGTTTGTTTTCTTAAAAAGGAGCTGAATCATGAAATGAGCATCTCTTTAAAAACAAAAAAGTAAAATAAATAACCAAGAGCAAGGAAACTGTTCTGATGCTGTTATATTGTTAATTTTGATTATTAGTTAAATGTTTTCCTCATTGTGTGATCTCCTTCTCTGAAGCTTATGGGGGCCCATTAACAGTAAGCACAGGAATAGGCCCTACTCAGGATAAAACCGGCTCCTTTCACCTCTAGGTGTCTGTAAAAGACTATTAGGAAAAGGGCCAGCAGCCGTGGTCAGGGGTGCTCTCTAACAAGCCCAGCTGTCCAAGGTTAGCTTCTGAACTGAGGTAAGGGTGCAACCAAGAGTTCTGTTTTCAATTCTACTAACTTTACCGAAGCTGGCTTTCTGATTCTCATTTATATCCCTTTACTTGGAGAGGAAGCGAACTGTCATCCATGTAACTGACAGAAGCTAGAGGGAGATTTGTCCCGGGATGTTTCAGTGTTTAAGTCATGCATGAGCAGTGATAAGCAGTAGATAAGCTAAGTAATCTTAGGCACATGTCACTATCCTTTTTTGTAA